AAAAAAAAAAAACAAGGGAGAAGACTGAAATGTCTTATTTTGGTTTTATGATGAAAACATTAAACAGTGTAAGAATAATTTTTATGATTTGATCAAATTTTGCCTGATAAGATTTAGTCACAAACAATTAATAAATGAGGCAAACTAACAGTATTTTTTTGAATTTCTTCAAAATTATTTGAATGTAAGGTAAATGATTATCTGTTTCTTAAGTCAATAATTGACTAAAAAATTACACCTCAAAGCCCAGCTGAAACATTAAGTTGTTTTTTCTAAATTGTGTAGTTAGAAACTGCAGTAATTTTTTTTCGGTCGTTTAGGCACGATCTAATTTGAAATGTTTCTAATTTGTTTCTTTCCAAGATCTTTTTACATTTTTTACGACACTTGAAGGTTCAATTTTTAAAAGCAATAAACTGCTGTGTTGTAGTTCTTCCAATTCTGTCAAAAAAGATAGTAGAAAAAAATAAACTTTTTTCAACTGTTCAGAAGAATGCGCTATATGTTAGCAGCTAATTTAATAAAATTCTTAAAGAAATCTAATTTAATAAACAGAGGATGTTTTCTCGGGTGGGAAAGTTTAGAACACTTCAGTAGACACCTAAACTTACGTTGAAATGCACTGTAAACAAGTATTTCTCTGTTTAAGCATCGGAAGACAAATTCTTCTAGAATTTTGAGGGACATTTGAAAAAAAACGAGAAAAACGGAAAATGTAGACTGTTAAAAAAGAAAATGACTGTTCATTTTAGAAGCTTCTAAATTCTTATGAAATCAAAAACGTGAGTAAAAAACATTTTACAAGGTTGTTATTTTAGACTAAAATAAATAATTAAGTAGCGATTGAATTTCAACGGCAGTACACTTACCAGAACCTAAACTAACTAATTCCCTCTTTATAATATTTGTCTCTGAGGAAATGTACTAATATTTTAACAATGAATAATTTTGTTCAGTTTTTTAAATCGCTTAATGTCTTCTACAAGTTCTTCGGAAAGTTTTAAGTAGAACCTTCACAATTCTTTCGGTTTTTAGAATGCCATTCTTAGTCACTGTAAGAACACAGTCGTTTTTTCGAGCGCGATATGCAAATACAGATGCACGCATTAAGTCTTCGATGTTTTCCATATCATCCAGATTAGAACCGATAACATTACAGTCACCAACCGGTAGTAGATGAAGTTCGGTCAAACTCAGTGTCTTGCCGGATTCTGTTGTGATTACAACAAATTTGGCTCTTGTTTCAGGTTCGCGATGATAGAACATTTCTACCCTTTCATATTTCAAAAGGTTTCCACTAGCTGGCACTAGCACCTTAAACATTTATTTTTTGGTTCAATTGCATTTTATTGTAAAACTGTACTGGTTCTTTACTAATTTTTGTTAAAAAAATTATTGAAAAGAAAACACCTGTGCAATCTTAATAACGACAGAGCTTTTTTACAAATATCCCCAAAAGTTAAAACAATTTCCAAATTTTTTGAATTGCATTATATTGATTGCTAAATTTTAAAAAAAGCAATAGAATAAACTTATTAATGTTTTTTATTTTTATATTTCTTCTAAATTCTCTTTGCTGCAACACTTCTTTATTTCCTGGTTCCGATAAGAATTGAAAAATAATCGCTTTTGCGGTTGCTGTTTGATACAGTTGCTCTTCCCCTACCCTCTCAATCTGCTTCCTACAGTATTTTGAAGCGTCCTCTACGATGAAAATAACATTATGCGCTAAGAAAGTATTTGATAAAACTTATAATCTTTTTAGCATGCAAAAACCTTACTAACTATACGATATCTGCTCACAAGCGAGAAGTAAGAGCTATCTGCCTACAAATTAACATACAATTCTGTACCTAAAAAATATAGGTTTGAAATGATAAAGAAAGATCAGCCAAACCACTAACCAAATCTCCAACTCTAAGATCACTCATTTGTACATCGCCGTTCGGTGTTCTAACCTTGCTGTCACCGGTGAAGCAATTGGTTCCTGCGCGTCCTCCTGCACGTAGCCGGCCTGCTCTTGCACTTACAGTTTGGGATGCTCTATTTTGATTTGCTGTTTGAGCCCCTACACTTTGTCTTGTTGCAGCTCCACTGGTGCCACTTGACGTGGCGGATGTGATATTTGATACAGCAGTCTGCCGGCCGCTTGAATTGGAAGTATTGCCGGATGTATTAACCACTGTGTGCCCATTCGTTACGGTCATTACAATAGCGTTTGGTGCTGCTGTCGCTCCTCCCTTGAGGTTAGTTGTGTTCTTTGAAGAACTATCAGCTCTGCCGTTCTGTCCCCCGCTATTTCCGTTTACACTTGCATCTTAAACAGAGGATCTGGTTACTAGAAGTAAAATAGTACACTGTTAATTAGTACGCAAAATAACAAAGTTCAGCAACCAGAAACAGATTCAAATTTACTTAAAAATCAAAAAATTACCTTTTAAATTCTCTTCAAAAAATTATACTCTGATATTTTTCATTAACTTTTCAATAAGACAATCATTTTTAATTTTAAAACCCTGTAAATTTGAAAGAAATTGAATAGCTAAAATAATAATCATTAACTACTGTTTTTAGCAAAAAAACACACACACGAACACGCAAACAGCACTCAATCAGTCATTTTTCTGAAGTAAATGTTCACTTGATTGTGGGGATATATTTGATGTAGTTAGTGGCTGTATACTTCTGGCCCCCGTAGAATTGGTCTTACTAGAAATTCCATTCTTAGAAGCTGCAGCAGATTTTATCATCTCGGCTTTCGCGTCGTTTGTTGGAGGCTTCTAAAAAGTGCTATTTGTTTATGACTTAAGAATAAAACTGCTTTCAACACTCTTAAATTTAAATAAGCAAATTTGGCACTTGTTGTTCTGTAGCCAAATAACTTCCAACCTTTTTGCTATTCTTAAAAACGTTTTTTTTTTTTAAATTTAGTTAAGCTTAGAAACCTTAGTATTACTGCCAGAAGATGTCTCACTGCCGGTTATTTTCGAATCTAAAAATACTGTGAGTTTTATAATTAAAATAACAAAACCAAAAAAACCAATTTTTCAAAGAAGTTAGATTATCTGACGTTCCAGTTTTAGCAACTTAAAACAAATCACATATGTATAATTGTTCAAAAGTTAAATTCAAAAAATGTCGATAAGAAAAATGAAGGTTAACAAATGCCTTGTTCTTTGTTGGACTTGCCGTCAAACTTGTTGAGCGTCGGCTCATTATTTCTTCCTGCACTGATACTTTCTAAAAGCAAATAATCTTATTGGTTTAATCATTTCAATCTCGTTAGCAAGAGTTTTCTCAAATGCCAAATGAGACTAAAGAAACGTTGTAGACGGCTTGTCTAGCGTCCTTCGTCAACAGGTAACTTAATATGGTTGAATATCGGTTGAACAGACCCTGTGGTTAACTTTCTAATCACATGCAAGTCGAAATTCTTTTTCGTTTCAAATGTTATCCACTCAAAAACTTAGTTTTTTTGACTGCAATTTGTTTTCTGAAAATTTTTAAGATTCTTACCAAAACCTTTATTGAAATATTCCGGCTCGTCACCTTTATCATCACCGCCTCCTAACCCGCTATTTTGGTTTCCATTTCTCTCCTATAATTTGTATTGATTGCCTTTAAGTATTTTCAACAAAAGAAAGTACCAACACTTTAAAAAATTGAATTTTAAAAAAGTAAGAATTGATAGCTGATTTGAAAAGTTAGTATTATTAACTGCTTTAGAGTCTTTCTTAAATAGCACAAATCTTAGTTTTATCTCAGACGAGCAAATTCTTTATTTTAAGCTATAAAATTTTTCTATCAAAACAAGACGAATGTAAAAACAAAGAACTGAAGTTCAGTTTTTCCATTGTTTATAGATTTAAACTTCTTGCTCTTTACCATTAGCAGAACAAAGTGAAAAGTCTACAACCTTGTTTGAAGTCACTGTGCTGATATGATCTCCGTCCTTTTCTTGCGGTTTACCTCTGACTGTCATTCCGTCATTAGGGTTCATCATGCCAAATTCATTTTCATTTCCTTTATTCAAATTATTCTCATTAGAACCATTCATTTTTCCATTTACACCTTTAGTGCCACCCGTACTTGAACTGCTTTCGCTTTGGTCATTGGGTTTTCCGCTAGTGTCACCTTTTTTACCATTTATACCACTACTGCTGCTTCTTCCACCAGAGCTACCATTACTCCTGTCTCCTTCTTCAGAACCTTTTTCGCCAGAACCACCTGCGGCTTTACTACTCAAACCTTTCTCGTTAGAACCATTTTCATCTCCCTCTTTTGAATTCTTCTCACCAGACGTTGGACTGAGTGTACCTAATAAAGTTAAAGTGTAATTGCGAATAGCGTTTAAAAGACCACATTTATAATGAAAACCAAATAGCTTCAAAGCAGTTGAGCACATATAATTATACACATAAAAAATTTAGTACAAAATAGTAAGGCGTCTCTCTATGGCGAAGAGGAAGAAAATAGGCCGATTCTTTTGCAATTCAGCACTATAATTTATTTTAAATAATTTTGGTTACAGAAAAAAAATCTTTTTTCCCTTTTTTAATAACTATCATAATTATATAAAATATCACGAAAAGAAAACTGACACCGTTGAATTATTCTGTAACAAAAAACCTTGAATCTTACACATAGAACTCGTCTGGAAAAGAGTTTTAAAGATAAAACTGAAAAAATACCTTTTTTTTCCCCACTGTTACCATCTGATTTCGCGTTCGTAATTTTTCCTTTAGATCCAGATATGCTATTATCTTCTATAACTGCATTTTTCAAAACGTTTTCGTTTTGACCCTCTTTTTTTTTACTACCATCGCTATCGCCTGAAATTTCTTGATTTCATTTAAGAAATACAGAACGTTTTCAGATACTACAAAGTCACTTTGACGATATTTCAGTAACTTTTTTAGTAAATCTACTATAAATAAATGCAGCTATTATAATTTACTAATCATATTAACCAGGTACTATTTCTCTTATATTTCAAGCAATTACTTCCCCGTTATCAGTTTTAAAGTGTTATAACAAATGTAAAAAGTTTAATAAATTCAATTTAAGCCACTGATCAACAAATATCGTCTTAGTTGGCTTTTTTCATAGGTATTTTTCAACAGACTTAAGTTCTAAATGCTCGGAATAAAATAAAGCTGTTCTAGAAAGCAAATTATACAACGAAATTTAATAGTATTAGACAAATTTCGTTCAAGAAGTAAATACGGTAACCAACACACGGAAAACATAGCAACGCAAGTGGCTCGAAAGCAACTCATTACCATTTGTCTTTTGACTCGTCTGATTCTCAGTGCCGCTTCCACCTCCATTTGATCCCTTTGCTTTTTTCCCTTCTGAATCATCGATAATACCATTTCCGTTTGATGATTCCGTTACAGCGCCGTTTCTATCGCTTCCATTCGAGTCTTTTTCTGCTTTTTTTCCATCAGTTCCGCTCTGACTTCCCTGCCTTTCACTCAAACCATTGCCAAGTAAACTCTTTAAGCTTCCTGTTTCCTCCTTACCATATCCCGCTTCTTTACCGCTTTTAGACCCTCCATTCTTGTTTCCTCTTCCACCGTCACCACCTCGGTCAGTTCCAGTCTCACTAATTCCCGCTTTAGTTTCTTTCTTTTTGTCTACTCCGCTTTGATGAATCTCCGTTGTATTTATAATTGTGATATTTTTAAACTTATTATTTTCTTTAACTCTACTCTTAATCATTTCCGACTTCTCTAATCCTGTAATTTTGGGTTTGTAGGAAACAAATGCCAAGTTCTCCAATGTCTTTTCTTTAGGTGTGATAACCCTGCCTCTAATTCGCAAATCAGCATCTGCACCAGCACCGTTCCAAGCTGCCTGGGACCACTGACTCCATCTTAAAAATAGAAAACCGTAAGAATTACACGAAAAAAAACAAAAAGAAGAAATACATTTTTCACATCATTTTTTCATACTGGAAACAAGTTTGCACTTGCAAGTGCTTTCGAGTCCGCTCAGTGAAGTTGATATGAATTATGTAAGTAGAAGACTTAACAAAATGTCTACTGCTTTTTTGGAAAAAGGAAGGTGATCACTGATCTGACTTCCTTTTTTTACATCATTTATTTGTCTTTCTTTTTATCTTCGTTTTGCTGTTCAAAATACGTTCTTGAAAATCCAATTGGCAAGAATTCTTTTTGAAGTGCTGGTGAAGAGTTAACCGCATACATACTGAGTGATTTTAAAAACTGTACAAGAAATCTTTAAAGACCGGGAAAGAAGACGCAAAACTTCAGGAAACAAATCAGTTAAGAAAAGGCAAAAAACAGAGGAAAAAAACAAAAAAAAAGAAAATTAAAATATGCTGTTTTTTTATGGGACTATTGTCCTAATTTGAAAGTTTTTTCATATCATCTGCACACAAAATTCTGGATCATTCTACTCAATCAGGAGAGTAATGGTATCTAAACAAAAAAAAATTGGGAAACGAACGAAATTTAATTGCTCTTTGCGTTATACACTTCTGAGCAGTCTCAGTTGTTATCATTTGCACAATTTTGACATGCTCACCGTAAATTTTCCGGTTTGCATGACTTCTGCAACTTTATCGCCGTTTGTCAAGAACCAAAACCAAAAAAAAACCACCTGATAAGGAATAAAAATTTACGTAAATATCCCTAATAAATTTTATGAAAGTGTCATTCCTAAAAAACTGTCAAACGAATTTTTCTTTGGTTACCGCTAAGCAGTCCAGTTTTTCTCCAGTACTTATTACCAATTTCTATAACTACCCTTAAAAAAAACTTTTCATTAAAAATACTACAGTGCTTTAAACAAGAATTTGATAAAATATATTGCAACAAAAAAATTTTCTTTATTTATTGCCAAAAAACCTAACAACAGTTATCAAGATTTTGAGGTCAGAGCCGTAACAGAGTTGAGGACCGTCTAACGTCGCAAAAATAAAGCAAATTTTAATCCAGTTAAAAATTTTCAAACAAAAAAATTCTTTTTGTTTTAATCTTTATTTCTGATTTCCTTGGCAATGCCAAAAAAATGTACAGAACAATAACTCTAAAAGTGCAAGAAGAAAGTATGCAAATCGATAAGATAAAAGTTTTTGTTTCAAAATAAAAGAATACAAAGAGCGAAAAAAAAAGTTCAACTTATCTGACAGATTTAAATTAATTTGAATTTATTTAAAGACCTATGACCGCTCAAAACACTTGTAAAAACAGCCAAACAAAAAAAAATACTAGTCATAACAAGCTGAAATATTAACCTTTCGACAGATATGCTGAGGAGAAAAACATACTTGCTAGATGCCCAAGCTGACCAAGCAGCTACAATCCAGTCAGAACCAAGTGAACCTTTCCTTCGCTTACCCAAAAAGTTCCGTTTCTCATTTCGGAAATATGGCTGGTGTAAACCGCGGCCGCATCGCGGCTGACAAATAGTTACTCTGTATCCATCGCTGAAAATAGAATTTTGTTGGCACCCGATTGCTAGATTTATAATTTATATGCTAGCCAA